AATTATCTATATATATATTTAAAATATATATGTATATATAGTATTGGGGAACCAATTATGTATCAACTAGGATCATATTTGTTTCTATTGGAAAATATGTATTCCATTAGAAATAACAATTTCTGCTTTTCACATTTGATAAGTACATTAAAACATCACAAGGCTCACACTTCCCAGCAGGGATTAAAGTTGAGTTTTATATTTTATATGAACAATAATAACATTTATTGTCCACTTAATATATACCAGGAATTACGCTAAATCCTTCATATGTACCATCTCATTCAATACTACTATCCCCATTTTACACACAAGGAAATTAAGGCTCAGAAAAATTAAGTGATTTTCCAAGGGCACACTTTGTTAAGCAGCAAAGTTAAGATTTAAACCACGATTTGTCTGCATCCAAATCCCATGCTTAACCACTCTACTATACTGCCTCCCTTTCTATTATGCTTTCATGTACTAGAAGCAGAGGCAAGCCAGGGATTTAATTAAACTAACGAAGGGTTATCCCTCACAACAGATCTATACACAGAGATACTTTATTAGTTTTCTAACAGTTCTCTGAAATAAGCACCAGGCTGTGTTCAGTCCAGTCTTCCTTGTGTTTTCTTTCACATTTTGCTTGCTAGAGACTTACCCTAGGTAATAAGAGACCATATTTGCTTTTAATACTATCTTTTGCTTCTCTTATTTAGTCACTTGTGAAACCATTAAAGATAAATGTAGGTAGGTAACAATTCTGTTTTTTTATATGGTTTATGGCTTTGGCTACTAAAATGCTCATTATCTCATAACTCAAGAGATTATAAAAAAGAGGTCCCACAAAGCAACTTGGAAGTCACTTGGCTGGAGAGAGTGACTCTCTATTTATCTCCCTATCAATCTAAATCTGTATCTATATATGCTCCTAAACTATCACAGATTAATCCTGATTTTTGCTCTGTGTTGCGGAAGAACTGGCAACTCCAAACCTGGGATAATTTTACAGAACTGGAAAGGAGCTTTCAAGACCTAATAGACATCAATCTGGATCTGACTTCATGTCATTTCTTCTACAATGTATCATTTCTGTTCAATCTAATAAAAACTCCCCTCTCAAGAAAAAAGTCAGGGCTGTTGTACTTTGCAGAAGACTCTACCTGACCCCAGGACTTTCTCATAGACCAAAAGAATGGAACAACTATATGAATAGAAGCTTTAATCTAACATTCTGCTATTCACTCTAAGGTAAGGGTCACAAACATATTCTTAGGGAGAATGGAGGAATGCTCAGAGACTCAGTGAGCATTCACATGGAGGGCATATTCAATAACTGCAGTGATCCAAAGGTATTTATAAGCTGAGTGTGCATTGATGTTGAATACACATCTTGTTAAATTCAGCATGCAGAGTCATACCTTGCTCAGCTGAAAAGTTTCCCTGTGCCACACACATTCAGAGGGATGGCCTGATGTGAGGTAAAGACTCTCAGTGTTCCTCTAGTCTCCTGGACCCAAGCTGCGCAGGTCACTCTGACTCTTTAAACTTGTCAGTTCTTCAAGAAGTGATGAGTTCTTCCGTAATGTGAGTAAGGCTCTAAATATTGTTTCTATTCCCTCTCACTGGACCTATTTATTTGCTAAGGTTAACATATGTGTTTGCTAAATCAACTGCAAGCAACTTGACAAACTGTTATAAAGAAACATTAAAACTTAAAACTTGATCTCTACACACAAGTTACTCATCATGTGGTGGGGTTCATAAGGCAAAAACTCAGGATTAAAATACCATAAGTGGAGGGCAATACATAACTCCCAAATGAGTGGCCTAGACACTGTGTGTTATGGTTCCAAAGGAGGGATCAGGTAAGGAATTATTTGGGAATGTTGTTATATTTCTTTAAATATTTAAACTTGTAAAATAAGAATAGCATTTTATTAAAATTATCTAGTTTCACTATCATATTATTTTAATGTT